TTAAAAATTTAGTATAATTATAGTATAAATTAATTTTATAAATTATTTTATTGACAGTCATTTCATTGATAAAGCTTGGGTGATAGGATTGGCTAATAAATGGTTAGTGTTGGGTACAAAACTTAACATGTATCACATAACTTAGTCAATGAGTATTTTTTGCGAATAATGAACAATCTATACTGCAGTGTTGAATGTTGATAATTGGGTTGGTATATAAGCTTGGTTGTACTTTCTGAATATTGAGTTATTGTTTTTTAGCTATTGGCTTGCAGTTAATAGAATATTCGATACTGTGAAGATTTATTTGTCTGTTTTCTATATTTTATGATTTCAATGATGGGTAAGGTCATAATTTAAAAAATGAATGGCAGGTTAATGTTGCAATGATGGGTGATTAACAATTTTAATGGTGGGTAGAATAATGATTTTAATAATGAGTGTTGGTGAGTTTAAAAATAGGTGAGTGATTTGAATAGTGAGTGAGTTTATTATTTCAACAGTAGATCAGTTAGTCTTTGCTGAACTTTCAAAAATTTAACAATGTTGTTATTGTATTGTTTTTATATAGTTTATATATTATTAATTGTATTGTTACTTGGCATTATACTATGCATTGTAAAAGTATAGATTTATATTGTTACAATGCTATAATTATATATATATTATAATTACAAAATTATTTATTTATTATTAAAAAATTATTATAATTATATTGTAATATTATAAATAAAATATTAATTATATAAAATTTATATTTAAACTTTATTTATTTTTTATAGCAATACAACAAGCAAACAATAAAAATACTATAACAATAATATCAAAACTATAACTAAAAAAAAACAATAAATATAATAATAAAAAAACTAAATAACAAATTAGCAACAAATTATCAATAAAGATATTACCGAGAACACTATCACAAGTAAAATAATTTATAATTAACTGTTGTACAAAAGCCCAAAAATTGCTCATGAAAATGTATAATCGTACGTACATACACAGCATAGAAAAGCACCATAGCTTGGATAAAATTTTCTGTATGTACATGAAAATTACGGTTAGTAAGTCTGGTAGATTTGGCGCATTTTGTACAATTCGTATAATTCATACATAGTGATCAATGCAAACATAGTAAGCATTGAATAGCCGTCATGTACTTATAAGTGTAGGAACTATAAATACAATAATAAAGCAGTTTGAAAAGGACTCGATTAGAGTCCAATACTCTGAACCCAATGTTTCCTCTGTTAATTACTCCCAACAAGTGAAATTAGTGCAGAGAATTAGTGATCAAAGCCTATTATTCTAAGTTCAGTCGTATTTAGAGCCTTGTGACGTAATCTTGAGCCTTATTAACTAGTTACCCAGACCAAGTCTTTCACGCCTCTCTCGTAGCTTGCTATTACTAGGTCCGGTATAATATTTAGTTGCTTATTGGTGTTTGTTGACATTCGTGAGGAAGTTCCAGCTTTCACAAAAGGCAAATATAAACGCAGCTGAACATAACAATCAAAGCATAAAAATTGTATAGTCATAATCGTGTCTTAAAATGCGATGCTCATACAAATTGGAAGAAATTATGATCAGAGTGCAGAGTGACGTGATAAAAATAAACGGATTAAAGGTGAAATAAAAATGACAATTTAAAGTACATTAGTAAAATGAATAAAACGAAACTTATATTAAGCTTCAAAATCCTAAGAAAATATGATCAGATGTGAGAAAATGAGGAAACTTTAATTAAGAGTAAAGGTGAAAAAAACAAGGACGATCCAAAAATAGAATATTAATTAAGTTCATGTAAAAGCATAAAAAATTATAATAAAAAAACCATCTTTCGCTCCCGAACAACATAGGATCGAGTTCCCCATAAGTAATAATAAAATAATTAATAATAATAATAATAATAAGAATAATAAAACAATGTTAGTAAAAGTAGTAATTAAACCCAAACACAACAAAAAAAAAGGCAAAAAAATAAAAAAGTGAAAAAAATACTCGCACCATGCGCTTGAAGAACATCGTGATAGCTTGACCTGTATTAGCATCAAACAAAAGTACCAATGAGGCTCCAATGAAGAAACCAACAAAGAAGCAATAAAAGCACAAGTAAAAGACCTATGGTGATGCTAAAATAATTATGATGAAGACAAACAGAGACGCCACTAAAGACGATAACAAAGCTGACTTGATACATTCCATTGAAATTATTCACATCAGCAACGTTTGATCCTCAAGTATCTAAATATAACAACGACCAACTTGATATGTTCCATTAAAAATTATTAACAGCAAACATAGCAAAATACCTTGCTTTCATTAATCCCATCTCTTTAACTCCTTAATACTTAAATAATAACGATAGCCATCTTGATACGTTCCGTTGGAGTTATTCACATTAGCAAACGTTTGATCTTTTTTAACTCAAGCTCTAAATAATAACGATAGCTAACTTGATACGTTCCGTTATTATTATTCAAATCAGCAAGCATTTGATTCTTTAACTCCTCAATTTTTAAATAATAACGATGACTAACTAGATACATTGCATTGGAATTATTCACATCAGCAATGTTTGATCCCCAAGTCTCTAAATATAACAATATATTCTATTAAAAATTATTCACATCAGTAAACGTTTGATAATGAACAAAAAATAGCCAACTTGATACATTGCATTAAAATTATTCACATAATAACGTTTGATCCTCAAGTCTTAAATAATAACAATAGTCAGCTTACACATTACATTAAAATTATTCATAACAACAATGAACAAAAGCATGTTACTTTCGTTACTTCCGTCTTTTTAGCTCCTCAATTCTTAAATAATAACAATGGCCAACTTGATACGTTCCATCGAAATTATTCACACTAGCAAATGTCCGATAATGGATAAGTGCCTTATTTTCATTACTTCCGTCTTTTTAGCTCCTCAATTCTTAAATAACAACATTGATACATTCCATTGGAATCATTCGTATCAGCAAACATTTAAGCGCCTTATTTTCGTTAATTTCCAATTTATATTAATAAATAAATAAATAATACTTATTATATTCTGAACATATATAAATATATAAAATTCTAATACTTACAGAGCGAAATACGACTTATCATTATCAGGTAAAGTTACACATCTTAAAAGTGTCACAGGATCGTCGTAATGATGTAACTATTTTTTTTTTCAGAATTTGTCAATCAATACGTATAACTGTACAAGTACAAGTACCGTACATATTAAATTACGCTTTGCCAAACCCTATAAACTATATAGGTAAATTAATTTAACATTAATTTAATCGACTATATACCAGGGTTTAAAATTGGCATGCACAAGATGCACATGTGCACGAAATTTTTTTGGATTTTTTTGAATTTTTTAAAAATCTATTAAGTGTGCATGTAAAATTTTTAAAAAAAGATGCACAAAATACATTTGTGCACGTAAATTTTTTTTTGAATTTTAAACACTGCTATATACGATAAATAGTGATTTACTTACTTCTAAAAATTACAAGGTCTTCATATCATCTGTGCAAGATGAAGTCGCTTCTTTTTTTTTTACTTTTTTTTATTTTTTTTTATCTTTTTTTTTTTTTTTTTATTTTTATTTTTTTATTTTTTTTCCGTTCATCACAAAATCTTGCTCGCAGGAATTATGTGGCTTGAATAGCTAATGAATGGTTGTTCTTTCTAAATTAACGCGAATAGAATAAGTAAAATACTGTATCATAAATCCGGATAACTTGTCGTAAATACCTAAATTAATAATACTCATGTACTAAATTAATGCAGCTAATTAAAGCGTGATATCATGAGCCGGAACAACCCATTTTAAATACTTAATTAGTCGATATTCACGTTCTAAATAATATTAAATAATAAAAGTTGAATGAAATTAAATGTTCATAAACTTGAATAGCAATTTTAAATATTTAAATTAATCGGTGTTTCTTATACCTCAGTGAAATGAGATTAAATAATAAGTATGAGCCACTTATTTTAAATACAACCGATGTTCTTATACTTACATTGAAATTAAATAGTAAATATTCATGAACTTGAGCAGCTTATTTAGGTCATATTGCTTATTTTTAAATATTCCTTATGCTCACAACTAATTAACGCGAATAAAATTAATAGTAAATATTAACTATTTTAAATACTTAATAAAAGTTCTTTATACTCACGTATTAAATTAATGTGAACAAATTAAATGGTAAATGAAAAAAAATTAAGCAATTGATATTATTACCGGTGAATGCACGAACTGATGAAGAAATTATTATGAAAAAGGTGATAACAAATTAATGGATTAAGTAGGATGGAACTAAATACATAGAATTATTCAAAGGTCGAATGTGAGTCTGGTCTGAATTTTAATAATAATTCTGTAATTGCGAAAAGCACAAAGATGATAAAATCCTATTGTGGAATAAGGAATAATAAATTAACGATGCAGATATTGAGATCCATGTATCTATGTATAGTGAAGTATAATGAACATCGATGAAATTGAATGAGACAGATTTCTTGAGGAAATCTCGACAAAACAAAGGATAATCCTGAAATAGAAGATCTCGACCGAAAAGTAATGTAGATACTAATATAAAATGTATTGTCCTAAATGTTGGTATCGTTAGAGTTACTGTTATGCTTTACAAAAATTGAGTTTGGAAATTTTAAACTTTACTCACCAAGTGGTACGTAATACAATTTAAAGATATATCACTTAATTAGTGGCATATTTGACTAAGAATTAAATTGTACAAGATTAATAAATGAAATTAATAAATAAAATCTCCAAATAAAAAAAAACAAACATAATATTAAAACTTAAATTTTTTTCTTCACAACTTGTATTATTCAAATTGCGTCATAATAAAATTTATTTCTAATATATTGATTATATAAAGAATCATGTGAAGTTGAAGTACATGTAGAATGACAATGGTGTACAAAATGAACCTTTGATAAATTGTCTATAAGGCTTATTGGGTAAACTTGGTGCCACCTTGCGTTTTCAGCTGTTTGTTTTTCATAAACTGGACATTGAAGAATTGGATCAAGTATAGAGCATTCACACAACCAGTCAACCCAAATAAATGAATATACTAAACCATCATTATATTTATGTGTAAATATCCCTTTTAGTATAGCGTAAGATAGACCGGTTTCTTCCTGAATTTGCACAATATCGCCAGAATGCAAATTCATATACTTATCAAAGGTGCCATCATCGTTTAATAAAATGTAACTTATTTGCTTGTAAAACTCTACACGCCTATGTATTAAAGCTGCTTTTTTTTCCATATAAATATCATATGCGCTTATGATGTCATTAGTAAACTGAAGATTGTCATCGAATTTTACCGGTAGCGAAAGCTGATGAATTTCGCTTTTTGATAGATGTTTCCTTGTCTTGATGTTTCTTATTTTATTATTATGTGATGTGATATTTGTACCTATTGCAATAAAGAATTAAAATTTTGGTCACTGAAAATCGAAGAACCATATTAAGAGCATAAAAATTTAATCCTTATATAAATAGAGATGTGTGAAGAAACTTCACCTATTGTATGTAAAACATTAGTGTCCCATGCTGATACGTATAAACATTAACTTCGCCAAGTTATTTCCTTTTTAAGAAATCGTCTATTGTTAGCGTTAGATAATTTAAATTGATTACTAATTATATACATTAATGAAATATAATATTACCTTATTTATACGTATTCACTTTTTTTTAATTTTGGAGTCATCAAAAATTTATATACTTACTTATATCAGCCGTATCTTCTTGAATATCTTGAATATTCTGTGTCATATACCAATCTGATAATATTGGTTGAAGCAATGGGTCTATTATAAAATTTCTAAAACCCTGTACAATATGTTGAAAGCGGCTATCTTTGCCTCCGTCGATCAGATAACGAATTGTTTGGAGTGTATTGTGTCGTCGAATGAGATCAAATTCTATATTCTTGCAGTTCATTTTCGAAACAGAACTTTTGAATGTTTTATGTACTGCTTCCTTTACTCCCACAGAGATATTTATGAGCATTCCAAAGTTGCGAGCATTCTGAACATGATGCCGGTTTATATGTAAATTTGGTAAATATTGAAATTGTCTGGAAAAAGCTAAAGTACAATAACATAAATAATGTTAGTTATGTTTCATATTGCACCAATAGAATTGGATTGAATTATCATCAGAAATCGCCATCTTAAAATAAACGCCTTTCTCATCATTGTTAAAAGCCCTGGATTTTTTTAAGGATTTAAAAGAATAATTGATCGTTTTGTTACATCCTCAAGTAAATCCTAATTTAGGTTAGCTAAATATCTTCGACAGTCTCATATGCTAATAAAAAAAATTAAAACCCACATACATATGTACGTACAGTATTACAAGAAACGGTACTCACTTTTAGTAATAAAATATGCTCAATTTTTAGAGCTTCATCTAGTTCTATATATGTTTGGTTAGTAAATGTAAAGCTGAAACTTAAGCATGATGCTTTCGCGATGGCTACCCAACAAGAAATGATTTCATTTGCAATTTGTGTAGACGATAGCATCTTTAGTCGCATGTTTGTTGATGTTGTAAGTTGCCTTTGCAACATAGCCAAATCAGTATCTTTGATACATGATGATGTTAAGAACCTTCGCAATAAGAATGGCATTATCATCACTAATCGCAAACAGTCAGAAAACATGAAACTGTTAAGGTGTTTGATTGGGTTAGGGAGACGGTACCAGCCAGATGGTAACTCAAAGGTTTTCCAATAATTTAAAAAAGTGCATTTTCCTCTTTGATTTAATATTGAAAAAGTACAGTCCATTAGCCTTTGTATTTTCCCAGCTATAGCATGGTATGCATCTTGAGGTGTTTGTAAATGCTGATTTTGTGTTAGATGATTCAAAATGCTTGGGCGTTCAGTTAAACCATGCTCTGTACAGTAGTCATTGACTGTTTTTCGTGGTGCCCCTCTTTGTATTAATTCTTTTAATTTATTAATTTTTTTATTTGTTATATGATGATACCTGGCATTTAACTTAATATCAAAACTAATATCACTTAATTGTTCTTTAGGTACCAAACAACTCCTACATCCTTGATTACCACTATGGCGTTTTGTATCCGCAAGATCGTTGCTCTGAGGGAGATCCGCAGTTATAATGCCCAAAGCGGCTATTATCCATATATGTTCACCCGCAATATTCATCAAAATACCTTTCTCTAAAATTTTAATTTCATCTATAATCGGCTTCATTACATCATCAAATTCTCCTCCAAACGGAACAAAACCCAAAACAAAATGATTCTTTAATTGCTTTCTTAGCCGTAAAGGCATATTGCAGAATTGAAGATAAATTCCACCCAAGGAATGGTACACATTACGGAACGTACCGAAATCGTCATGATAAATATCCAACATTATTTTTAATGTAGGCACATTATGAGGAGCTGACATTGGAATTTGAGTATATTCAATTGGATGAAGATGTCTCAGTTTACAATCTCTTATCTTCCACGGGCCTTCATGACAATATAAGATTTCTCTCACATTAAATTGATAATTAGGTAATTCTGGAGTATCCCGAAGCCAAACTGTAACAGGTTCAATAACATTAAATGGATCAGTCAGGTATGTTATTTCGCTTAACCATAGTTCTCCATTCTTTGATCGCTCTTTTCGTATTGAGCTTGCAAATATCCTTAGCAATTCAAAGCCAAAATAAAGATGTTGAATCTTTAATTTAATACTATTCGAAGTTGAAACTATTGCTAAAATTCTTCCTATTTTTGTTTCTTTATCCTTATATTTAATGAATGATCCTATTAAATATAATTCTAAACATTATTTTAATCATAGTTAATAAAAATTGTTTAAATTATGCTTGCTGGCAAACCGGGTAAATTCAGAACCCCCAAAGCAAGTGCTACTTAAAAAATATATTGTCCATATTCAGAGATAAATATGCGAACAATATAATTGGTTTAATAAAGATAATTAATATGTTTCAGGATATAAATTGATATAACAAATTAATTCTATAAAAGTTCAGAATTTGCCAGCAAATCTACATACACTATTATTTAATGATTATATTATAGGCTTTACCATTATCTATTCGTATCGAGGATGGACTAAAAAGGGGTGATTCCTGCCAGATATTTCCGTGCCAAAACTCAGATTTTGTTTCGGCTTCGATTCCAGGCCCGAATTTCATTTGCGATCGTAAACTTCTATTACCTAAGACTCTTCTAATATGCTCGCTTATAGATATAGTGTAGGAATTCTTGAATAATGTAGATGTTGAGGGTGTCTTCATGTTCTGGATCGGCACTTGGTGACACTTTATTGTTTGGAGAGGGAGTCGGCTACGTAACGACCTTAACCGTCTAATATTCTTAATTATATGTTCAGGGCGAAAGTTAGGATGTTCAATAATACATATAAGATCTTTATACGCATTACTTGCTAAGTATAAATTAATTAAATATATATACATATTTAGTAATTAAAATATACATTGCGATAGATATAATAATAAGTAATATTAATACATACTGATCATATGTTTAGTAACCCAAGTAAATAGCGACATCTCTGTAAAGTTTTTGAAGTATGGACCGTACTCTCCGGATAGCGGTTGAAAATCAATTCCACTATCTACTATAGTTTGTGTTACTTTTGATTGTAGTCCAACTTCTTCCATAATTGTTGACTGGTCACTGCTACTCAAAGTATTCGACGTGCTACTTAAAGTATCCGATTCGCTACTCAACATATCCGAATCCATAGAGAAACTGCATTCAAAGTCATTATTAATATGCTGACTTTCTTCTGAAAAACTTTCTTGTAAGCTTTCATTACTATAATCCTCATAATTTTCTGAGTGTAACGAAGCTTGGTTTCTAATATCTTGTGAAGTATAATATGTACATGATTGCACAAATTCATTTTGTATTTGGCTGGAACTCTTATGCGCAATACGTCTTTGTAATCCAACTTTTTGCATCGCTTTTTTGGTTCGCACTCTTCTCATTTTTTATATTGACTATCTTTTAAATATTAATTATAAGCCTAAAGCGAAATTGAAAGAAAAGGACGAAAAAATAAGTCTATGAGACGAAAATATTTAATTTATAGTATTTTAGGCGATGATATTAAAGCAAAATTGAAAGAAAAAAAAGGCGAAAAAAAGTTAATGAGAATTGCCTTTATATTTATTATTTCTTGAAGCGGAGTTTGATTATTACTATTAACATTGTAAATCACACATTTTAACTTAAGCTTCTAGATTTCAGAGTTCTTAAAATTCAAATAAATTTTTTACTAAATAGCTCATAACATTGTTATTATTGAACATTATTAAGCTTAATAAATACATTTGAGTTTTTTAAGTCTAATAACTTTAAATTGACTTAGAAAACTCAAATGCAAATGCAAATTAGGGTTATTTTCACGTGATCAAGACGTTATTTTCAGGTAACTTTCAAAGTGAGTATATGGGGTCTTTGCCTTGAAAACCAAGTCATGGGACATAGTAAATCATATGTTCCATACTTGATTTTCAAGGCAAAGGCCCCATATATCAGTGCATAGTGATTTATTTTTGTAAAAAAATTGGTTTATAATGACATGAACAAGATTAACTAAAAAATTTAATCCCGTTTGAACATTCCTAGCCTTTTGCTGGGAGTTTGTAGCCTTCGATAAGGTCGATTTTCTACAATACATAGATCTCTCGCAATTTAGCCTTCGATAAGGTCGATTTTGCTACGTACAATACATAGATCTCTCGCAATTTATCCGATTACTAAATCGGGCCTGGGGAGAGACTTATACGTATATATCACAACCTACAGCCAAATTACCAAGAATAAGGTATGTAAGAGGAACAACTATTTACAAGAAATGTGGTAATGGTAATGGCCTACTACTTATGTACAAAGTAATGGGGACAATAGAAGTGATACTATCATAATTATAGAAATGTGACAAAATTAATATAAGAAAACTTTCGCGAAACAACAGATCAGCCTAAAGAAGTCAAAAAATAAAGAAAACGTACAAATCTGAAAACAGCAGTCTAAACCTATCTTAAAAAAATGTCAGGGAGCAATTCTACCTATAACTGCTTTTTCTTTTACCTTATCCTAACAATTAAAGCTTTCAACAAATCACGTGAGATAATCTAATTATGGAATAAATATACATATATTCCACAATAGGCAAGAAATTCCTTTACGTACGTACGTACGTACGTATTTATCCGCTACATACCATACCAAACTTGATATTACAATAAGCATTACATGTATTGTTCAGGAATTTAATTTCTTAACGCTATGGATAAGTAATTTTTCGACCTTGATAGAGTTACGTCTGCTAGAATTGTACTTAATCCGCTTTTCATAGTAGAATTTGAGATGCATTGTTCTTAAAAATGGACTTTGTATTTGGAACTTAGCCTCCTGTAAATACTCAATTCCACATGATACGCTCCGTTAGCAATTCCTATCTCGGTAGATTTTTGATAATTAATATAATAAATAATATATATATATATATATTTAAAAAAACGGTTTAAAGTAACAATATTTGAACGATGACTAGAAATAATTTAAGTTTAAAAGCAATCCGATTTATTGAGCAATTAAATAATGCTTTTTTTCAAAGTGACAGATTTGAAAGGTGACTAGTGATTAAATCAAGATTTCCTTTTTACATATTAATTCAATAAATATTAAGTGGTATTAGCTATACTATACCAAGAGCATTCAAATTATTTAAGCAATCTTAGAATTCCATTGTATTTAAATATGCTAGTCAAACTTTAGAAGTGACCCAAGGTCTAATTGTTGCAAGGAATCGTTTCCATCAGCTGTAAATATAATCATGTTAACTGTCATATAATTAAGATCTTTGACTTCATTAATCACATCTTTGTCCAAAAGATTTTCTTGGACAAAGAGATTAAAAGCGGATCGTATAAACTTGGTGAATTTAACGACATTTTCAGGCCATTTCCTGAATGTCTTCTCTAAGTCTAAAATATCTATATGACGTTTTAAAAATACCTCCCAGTTACTTTCCGTTATATATTCAGAAATTTGCTTCATTTCTGGTTGCCTTGCCTTATTCAACTTGAAAAACAATTTTAGTTTTCTTTCTATTTTAAATAAGCATTAATCTATAAAAACTTACTTGTATTTTCTAATAAATTCCGGAACTAAATTTCTAAGTTCCTTTCTTAAACACGCATTGTAATCCCGAAAGCAACCAAAGGCCCATTTTTGCAACGTAGCACGTTCTGATGCACTGGTTTGAATATTTTTAAATAAGGATCTAACCAGTACATCGATAATAGGTTTATTTATGGTTCGAGTACGAAAAAATAGGCCTTTAAGATGCATTTGGAGAGTTCCGAGGTCCTATTTTAATAAATATTAATTAATTGAACTATTAATATTATTTAAACTTATATCAAAACTTACTCTTTCTGATAATACATTGAACTTGTTGTCTTTTTCTTGGATAACTGTAGAACCTTGGCTGTCTGCCTCTATCATACTCGTTGTTAACTTAATGAGATTGGTATGTTGTACGAGGTATAGACAAAGCTCCAAATCATTTTTAAAAGGGCCGATAAAAGAAGTTGAGGAATTATCGATTTTGTTTGATGTTAATGGGTGCTGGCTATTAGTATCTTCGAAAGAGTGGTTGATTAAGGGAAATGAGGCGATATTGGGTAATGGTGATCGTTCACTATAAATACTTTCAGGAGAATCACTTCTATCTGAAAAAGATGAAGCTTTAGATGCAATTGGCCGTTTATTATAAGACAAAGAGCTTCCAATTAATGAGGATGACGATGAAGCTTTTGATGTTTGTTCTATTCGTTGTACGATATTTTTAGATGGCAGGTCGTCTCTAATTAAAGCGGACGGGGTGCTTGATGGTTGAATTATCTCTAAAAAAAATTATATAATGCGTTAATATTATTTGCGTACTGTAAAATGCATAAATAATTTATACCATTATCACTATTAATCCAATTCGGTTCGATTTCTATTCTCTTTGTCGTGTTAGTACGATTGGAAGATTTTTTTCCTTTATCATTATTTGCTGTAACTTCCATATTCGTAGCTTGTGCCTCATAATCTTCAGCTGATCTTAGAGAAGGCTCATCGTTAGGTTCTTCATATCCTCTTCTCTTTTTTACGTTAGTACGATTTAAAACTTTTTTCCTTTTATTTACTGTAACTTCTACATTCGTGGCTTGTCGCTCATCTTCAACCGAATTATTTGTTTCATTTGATCTTGGAGCTAACAATAATAAATAATATAACTAATATTCTAATTACAAAGGCAAGTTCATCTCTTACCATCATTTTTTTTCTTAGCAACTTTTCGTGTTCTAGCCATTTTTGAGTCTAAAATTATAATTAGATTAAAATTGTATCTTTCTCTTGCCAACTTCGATCAATATTATTACCTTTGCTATTAATTTTACTTTGACAAGTTTGTATCTCGTTATTTTGTTGATTTCGAATAAAAAAAAAAATCAATTTTTTTAATCGACTTTTCTTCTTTTATTGTAATTTTACTACGCTATTACATACGTATTATCATTATTACATAACGACAATGCATCAATTTAATTTATTACAAATATGGAAAATAAATATATGGATTTTAAGATTTGCATAAATTATACGTACGAACGTATTATGACTCCGAGCCCCGAAAAGGTAATATATTGATTACTTATATGTATCTTCGCTTTTTCCTTCAAGATTGTAATCTAACATTTTCCTTAAACTGTAGAGATTTTCCAGGTCCATAGTAAAGTCGTTATCTAGTTTCACATGCAGTCATAGGTTCTATCAAATCAGTATTTCTCTTACTTAGCGAGACGCCAAGTCTTCATGCATTCTTTAAATTCAATAAGTTGAATTTTCAAAAACGTAATTTAATTAATTACATTTTTATGAGGATATTTTATGTAAGAAAAATTTTGTCTAACATATTTTAATTTTTATTTCATGAATTACACACTAATATCTTTTAGTATCGTCTTTAATATTATCTATCTTGATAATGATAACAACAAGACTAAGCAATTAATCAAGAGCAAATTTATTAATACTACCAAGTGCGTGCGTATGTAATACACTAAATTGTTACAACAAAGTAACAAGACCAATTTGCACATACAAGATGCTGCGGCAATGACTTTTGGATATAGAGGTGCAGACATATTGTCGTAATTAGTTACGACCTATTTTAAAACAGATTATTTTTATTGAGGTAATTAGGTTACGACCTAATTACGACAATATGTCTGCACCTCTATGTTGATAATTTGTCTAGAAGTCAAGGTTTCTAAATCAAGTTTGAAAACTTCATTAAGGTAAAAAATTTAAATCTTTATATTACCATAAAATAAAGTCGTTACCTTATCCATACTACTTTTTGGAATTTCTCTAGCTCCTCATAACGAATTGATCAATGTCGGATTCCGTTTTAAGTAATTTTCATCATCCATCGTTTTCACAGACCTTACATCTATGACTTGACGGGTACACATCTGTTTCAGTTCTTTCAGTTTTTTTTTTTTACACACACGTCTTTACTAAATTCATTTTCCACTGAATTCATATGTGCTAGTGAATGGAGCTTCTAATCCTATAACTCTGCTATCAAGAATTGCTTTTTAACGACAACATTCTCATATTTACCAGGTGACCTTTACCTTACTATTCAGCATTCCTTGCTATCTACGATTTTTAAATGCAATTGTCACAGGAACACACTCTGAATTTCAACAAAAATAATATCGTCTCAAAATAACATACTGTTACAAAAAATAACGTGACTTTGTAAATAAGCTTTTTATATAACCTTATAGTTTAGTATAGTTATAGAGTTTACTTAATTACTTTAATTAGACTTTATATTGTTATACTACATTTGCGTTAATAGTATATAGTCAATTTGAGTCTAATAACATGTATATAAGTAGGATCATTCTTTGTAAATAGAAGTTAAGAGTTTAGAAAATACTTCTTTGTTTTAGTTGGAATAAGGGATATTTTAGAGGACTCTTAGTGTACCGGGTACACTTGATAGGAAGATACCTACTTGTATCGCTCATATTTCTTTGTACTTTTAGTGTTTAGTATGTAATAATAAATAATTGGTTTCTTTATTTTAATGCTTACGACCAGAGTTGAATTGGCAGTATAGTTATAAAATCTCTCCTTTGTCGTAACAACACCTCCTAAATATACATATTACAGCCATTATCAAGCACCTCTCTTAATGTAATTGCTTAGTGATTGGGGTGACGCTCAAATGCTATTGTAATCGATACTTGAGCTATTCTTTTCAATCGATTTTATTATAGCTACAAGAAAAAAAAGGCGATTACCTAGTTATCTAATAATTTAGCTCCCGCGTGCTTGAAACTTTGCCTCCTGCATCTGTCTTCTTAACAATTTACTCGTTGCAACAACAACCATATTTGGCTACATTGAAATATACTGGTACAGCACTATGAAAAACTTTTGGTGGTCATGGCTCTGGGTTTTTTTGACCAACGTAATATTTACAGTTGATTTTTTCAACCGATCAAATCGTTCAGTAAACTCATTGAGGTAGATGCTTGAGAAGAATAGATTAGTTGCGCAACCAATTTTAGCAGATCAGCCAAAATTTAGGGTCAAAATAGGCCGAAGATAGACTGGCATTAAGTGTAAGACTACTATAATATACTAGGAACTAATAAAATTACGAAGTGAATGGTTATCAAACAAATAGTGTGCAAATCCGATGTTTTGATTGGCCGTGATCACAATATAAAACATTGCATCGATACGTATGCATGTAACAGGTAAAGATATAGCATTTTAAAATAGCATCGTATTTGTTTTTTATTACCTTTGTTAAATTGATTTATGTAAATGTTGTAATTGTATGCGTATGTTAGATGATGACCGAATAATTCACTAAGATGATCAATGGAAAACTTGCTGAAAAGGAAAAAAAATGGATATGTTAAGATTTATACTTACCAAGTATAAATTTTTAATATGCTGATTTGCTAATTTGCGAAATTTACTAGCTGGTTTTGGCTAGCATTTTTGTTTTTAACGAATAGTGGCCCTGGTGCATATGTAATTTACTATATTCCATAACAAGTCTTCAAGACAAAAACTCTATATGATACGTTCCTGGTTTAAGCATGACTGCGTCACGTAGCTACCAAATTACTATATATATTATATTTTGCAAATATGTAATTTTATAATATAAAGTATTATTTTTATAAATATTTTATAATATTTTAATTATAAATTTTTGTTTTTACAATATTGTCACAATACTTACATTTTAATTTAAACTATTAAATAACAATATTAATATATTGCAAATTTTATATTTTAATAATATTAATAAATTATAATTTTTATTAATAATAATAAATATAGTAATAATATTGTAAAATTAATAAAACAATATTGTTAAAATATTGTAATTTTATTTATTTAATTATAATTTTTAGTATTATTATTATATAATTAATATATTAAATTAATATTATAATTATATTGTAAAATTAAAAAATTTTTATATATTTAATAATAATTTTTGATATTGTTACAATACAATTTAATATATAAAAACAATATTATTACAATATAATAATAATATAAAAATTATAATATTTTTTTAAGTTTTATAAATTATATTGTTACAATATTAAAATTATATAGTTATTATATAGTATTTGTATAGTTAAAAAATTATATATTTCAGCAAAGGTGCTTTTAATATTAATAGGTTAATTTTAGGGTAAGTAAATTAGTAATTTAAATATGTAAGTCAATGAGTGTTTACGATTTGAGTTATAATAAGTTAAAGATTTTAGCAATGGGTGGATTCCAGATTTTGTAGTGTAAATTTATGCTTAGCAGAGATTTTAACAGTGAATAATCATTTAGCAACACAGATTCGTGGCTTTAACAGAGATGGGTCGTGATTTTAATAGTGGGTGTAGAATATATAAGATGCGACAACTATGATCATGCTGACCAATCGGGTATTAGATTTTGGGTACACACATAATTTCTTTCTCGAATAAGCTATACACTTTGTGATATTCATCACTCTGTTCCTAGTATTGAAGATTTTGCTATAGTAATAATGTATTTCTAATTATATACTATATATTACTGTATGTACTATACATACTGTACATACTGTATATAAAAAAAATTAGGCTATCATATAAACAGCACATCACTAGTTGTGGTAAAGAATGATACTTACAATTGGTTATTTAACTCGGTTAACCATCACATGGACATAAAGTTATCATCAACATCACTTGATTATCATCTGCTTTTACTTCACCATCCTTATTGAGATATCTCTAACAGCATCACCTGTTGTTTTGCCTTAATATGATAGAGATACGGTCTTTCTTAAATCCTATCTCTACTTTATTACAAAGTGCCAGACATCGACATAAAGTGCCTGGCATTTTTTTGTCTTGGGCATTATTACAAAGTGCCAGGCATTGGCATAAAGTGCCTGGTATTTTTTTGCCTTGGGCATTATTACAAAGTGCCAGGTGTCATCATAAAGTGCCTGGCATTTTTTTGCCTTGACATTATTACAAAGTGCTAGGCATTGGCATAAAATGCCTGGCATTTTTTTGTCTTGGACATTATATGCCTGGTATAGAAATGCCACTTATTTTATTAGGCACTATATGGCACAAAAATGCCAATTGCTATTTAGGCATAGGCATAAAATGCCTGGCTTTGAAACATTTATGCTGAAACTTTAATGCCTATGCCTATAAGTATACCGGATATTTTATGCCTATAGACATAGGCATGGCATAAGGCATTAGTGCCTGGTATAGTGCCAATATACCTGGCATGGACATTTGCAGAACCATAATTAAAATCTACTACACCACATATTTTAACTGAAGTCCTAATCTATTTACTACAAATAAGACTATACCAACGCGAACAAGCTGGATATTTGGAAAATTTCAAAATACACCAATAATAAGAAAGTTTTCAAAACAAAACTACTAAAAAACAATATACAGATCACACATTGGCTACCCCCAGCCTTGGATACTAACTTATCACCACTTACTCATTGTATTTCTTGTATACTAACAACAGCTATAAATATATATAGACAATGTACTATTATTATTCCTATACAACACTGCATAACAATTCAAGCTACATGCTCTAAATACTTACGTATTAACATCTCTGATCTAATTTCTAACTACCCTCTTTTCAATAACATGAATACAAAAACAAACTATTACAACACCAGGCCTACTACTCTACAGAGGTCTGCACGCAAACTGTTACCCCCAATCAAGTATTCAAATAGGGACAAACCCAATCTCATCTAGATCACCTTGCACAAATCAATTTACAAGCCTCAAAACTTTGCTTTTATATATATGCTATACACACCAATATAAATTCTCCATGCTCATCTGCATCATTTGCCTGGATATTTACTCCAACTAACATATCATTTGCTGCAAGTATCACCTTTTGCCGTCCAAAACCAGAGCATATTTTGTTGGCATAATTTCTATACTAGCTATAGTACCACCAGATTTTCACATCACAATTCTAACTTCACACTCTCCAACAATTAACATAATAAACTCAGTTCTACAAACTACATCCAACCTCAACCTAAGAAACAAAACCAAAACTTTTGGCCACTCAAACAACTCATTCACACCATCATTGTATGA